CGCGCCAGAGTCACTGAGCTGAAAGGTGCAATTAGACTGGACCCATTCTGCCTCAGAATGTCGATCTATCCTCATAGCGAGGAATTGCATTCGGAAAGGCCTTTGGCACGGGAGACCCAGGTCTCTACGCTCTTTCACTACGGTGTCGAAGAGGATCTTGCACATCCTGCAAAATTTTCCGTAGCGTTTCGAGTGGAAGAACTGTAGTCGCATGTACAATACCAGCACGATCGGGTTTTTGAACAGAGAGAGTTCTGCGAACACAGCTGCACACTCTGAAGTTATAGCGGACAGATCGACGTTGAGTTTGAGTACCTGTAGATCGGGGCAGAGTATCCGAACCCTTCGTATTTCTTCCGCAGTTGGCGTAAAGAGCTTCCTGACTCCACGCGGACAATCGAGCTCTCGGGTCAAGTGTAATCTCCTGAGTTTGGGATTTGATTCCAGTATTATGAAAGGAACCGCGCGACGGGTGTGTGAGAGAGGCTGTGGAGTAAACTGCGCTTGACCGCTGTAAGAAACATGAAGTAGTTGAGACAGAGGATTGGCTTTCAATAGTTTGACTAGCTTAGCCTCGTCGTCACTGGTGTCTATGCGATAGTCGAAATGGAAACTGAGGTGCTCGAGCTGAGGGGCCAGGCCGATGAAGTGCCCTGCATTTTCGGGTTAGTACATGAGCAAGTTTGTAGAGGAAAGCAAAGGTACGTACGAAGCTGATGTATATTGTGTAGATGTAGAAGAGAAAGCTTGTCCCACTTTCCTCTCGAAGCCCACAGCTGCAATTCACCGCAGGTGAAAATGGTAGTATGAAGCAATAGCTCGTCGATACAAGGAAAGCTGCTGTTGCGAAATAACTCTAGCCTCTGTGGAAGAGCCTCGATATCCTCTGGATCCTCGTTGAAGATAGCCAGCGTCATTAGCGTCTGTTTGCTCGCCAACCACGCAACGAGGTTCTCCTTGAAGCCGGCGGTGAGTCTCTGTACACCATGGTAGCGATAGACGAATGTGTTTATTTGGAGACCAATCCGGTGAGCTAGGACATGGCCATTCAAACGACCCACGTTTGACCGATGCCTGGGAATGGGTTTCCAGACGGAGATGTTCAGATGAGCTTGAGGGTGTTGAGAAGCTATCATCTCAAGGAGGTAGTACGGCAGTGCTATAGGGCCGTTCCAGTCAAACTCCCGTAGATACTTAAGCCTAGTGAGCAGGGTAGCTAGGCAATCCCATCGTATCGTAAGATCCCTCTCAGTGTCAGTGATACCGAGGGTTCTTATCTTCTCTGCAAGGCGACAGTTGGGTCCCGCCAAGCGCTGTAGTAGACGGTTGTGGGATGCTCTTCCGACATCAATCCTGACCTCGCGGTATAGATAGGATGCGACGAATAGGTAGAGCCCGCGTGAGACTAGGGAAAGGTTGACAAGGTCACGAAGATCATTCGTACAGAAGTGTTCAATGATCAAGCTCAGGATTTCCGGGCTGAGACCCCCGAGCCTATGCGGACCTTTCGGCTTCGGTTTGAGCCTGCGCAGGAGTTGCATTGTCGTAAAAGAATGGGATGCTAGAGTATGTAAGCTTGAGTGCCACCGTCGCCAGCCCTGATTCCTCACCTTTCTTCCTATCGTTAACTAACATGATATCGAAATTTGGAGTTCGGCTGCTTGTGTGTTGGGGTATTGGTTTTGGTCGGCATAGGCTTTCGCATGAGGAATCCTTCAAAATCGCGAAATATATTCGTAACCAGTATCGGTGTCTACTTGGCGAGCATTTTCTTCGCTACCGGACAACTTTGAATATGTTCGGATGCAGTGGATCGTTCCGGTATACAGACCTCGTCAATCCAATAGGAAGTCCTCGATTGCAGATGCAGATGCCGCGCAGGCCAAAAGGTTCATAGAAGTCCGTGACATTTTGATCAAGGCGCATGACTGCTCGGGGTGCGCGATACCGGCACAGATATCTCCTCATGGGAACGATGGGAACGATGGTGTGGTAAGGACTGAGTACCCACAAGGTGGAGAACTACTGCTATTGGAGAGTGGCCACTGCCCAGGTGCGTCCATGGATGGAGCAGGCCCTAACCGTTTTTGTTTGCAATAGAATGAAAGTGCGGATGAATTTTATCGGATGTTGCATTTTAACACTATCTCGGGTCGGTTCAGACTTAAAACCCACATACGTGTGTGGCGCCTTCATAATCGCGCAAAATTGGATGAAAGCGTCAAGAGAACTACTGACGAAAGCGCATCAGAACGACCAGCGCGGAACACAAACTATGAATACAATGGCCGGTCGTGAATGGGGTATCATATGGAAATGGAGACGTAGAATGCAAACTCAAAGGGAAGATACTAAAGGTATATGCGCCTTCACGACCGTGTGATGGGCGCTTTCGGTCCCGCAGCGCGTGCTGTCCATTCTACCAGCCCATGCTCTGCATGTGCCCAGTACTCGCGCGTCTTCTTGTACATGGCCATGCGCTCATCAAGAGTGGGCACCGCCATGATCTCCTTGAAAGGTATTGGTCGCTCCTGCACTGGTATATGCTTGAGATCAATCGCGGTGCCCGAATCTACGCGTTTGGTTCTCGCGGGTGGCTGCACGCTTGTATTTGAGGTTTGGCTGTCGAGAGGCGAAGGCCGTCGCTGCGTCACGAGAGGCACTTGTTTGCGTACGATCGTTGTCTGAAGGGGACCAGGATCTGGAGTCGAGTAGATGGAAGAAGTCGTGGTGAGACGCGCTAGGGCCCTTGTATCTCGTAGTTGCTGATCATCTTGGAATGCGAGTTCTGGCAGAAAACGGGGTTCGGGAGTGGTTGGCTTCGACTTCGGCGCTGCATCGTACAGTTCGTGGTCAAGTCCAACCCTCTGCCGTAGTCGTGATATGCTCGACTGCTTTCTTAAAGGCCTGCTTGTACTGCCCGATCTCCCGAACTGACTGTCCATCTCACTGTTCTTGCCACCGACTTGCGCCGTTTCAGTGTGATGCGAGGAAGAGTTGCGCCTCAGTTTGGAGAGACTTCTGCTCAGGGAGACACTTGATCGTCGAAGTGTGCCGCCCACGGTGTCTGCCCGTCTCGGTACTTCAGTCTTCCCAGTAGCAACGAAGGTATGTGAGGGCCTCTCATCCGGTTGGATCGCGGTGGTGTGGAAGTAATCGTTAAGGCTGGCACCGCTACCGCCTAGTACATTCACACCCCCGACGTGTTTAGCATCCATCGGACCCGAGATGACAAGCGCCTTCTTCTTGGCCATAGCTTCGTTGCGGACCGCTATTGCGATAGCGGGGAAAGATGTGAGCCACAGAGGTGTCTGATTGTTGTGTGGCACCAGGCTGGACGCGGCTCGTCTCGAGTGGGTGTGGGTCGTCTGGAGGTTGGACGCGGTGGAACGGAGGATGCGACACTGAACGAATGTGACGATAATCTGGATAGATGAAGAGATTAGCCGCTCCTACTGCCCTTCCAACAAAGAAGGCTACAGCCAAGAGATGGAGCGGTTCTGATGTGGGTACGCGTTGACTGGCAACGACAAGGCTGAAATTGGTATGTCAAGCAAGAAAACTCCCGGGAGTTGGTATCTTTCTTCCGAATATACCGCCTCAGACTTACGATGATGGAGCCGCAGTGATTCGGAAGCGCTGTGAGATTCAAGCTGTGGCTGTTCCCTGGGGTAGATCATGTTGCCTGGTTTGGGTCATCTGAGACGCACGACGTTGCGAGAATGTAAGACGTCCGGATACTATCAGAGATGTCTCATAACAAAACAGACGGGAGATTGCCCATGACGCAATAAAAACATAGCCAGGCTACCCTAACATCCAAGGCATATGGCTGTGGCGTTGTTCTATACACGTGGGTTGTCGGTCGCTCGTCGGAAACACGAAATCCCGAACATCGCACGCATAGCATTCGTGATAGATTTTGGGCTCCAGCTGGGCGATCTCGGTTAATATCGACTCTCTTCATGACGGATCGTAGTTCTGATACACACGGTGTGCGTCTTGGCATTCTATACGTCTGGATCATTGGGGACAGCGGGTAGGTCGAACCCGAATGTTGTCCGTACAGCGTACTCGTGCTCTGTACCATCGAAGGAATATACGGTAGTGTCGTGGCTCTTGTGTACCGAGATCCCTTCCCTGCCCGCCCTTATGGCCGTTCGATCGTACTTCGGATGGGAGGTGCCGGTTCGAGCGTCGTCGCGGGGCGAAGATGGGAGCTAGAGTCCGCAGGAGGAGTGTTCTATCATGACAGCTGCAAGTGACACTCCTATGCGAACGTGATTCAGCTAGTCGGCGTCCATCTCAGTACCTTCGCGCTCCTTCCCTCGATGCGCGCGTTCTGAAGGCAAGCGAGGGCGCGACGTCGCGCTGAAGCAAGTCTTGAGACGCAAAAACTACACTGGTGACTTACGGGCGATAACTTCACACACATATACCGTGATCTCCAGGCAGCGACGTTGTTGATGGGGTGGATGAAGCAAACCGCGTTCCGAAGATTCGCCAACGTCTCATCCAGGCTTCCCGAACCTCTTAGCGCGAATCCACCCAACGGCCCTCCGCGCCTCACAAGGTTAGTGAGCCATCGCCACGATCGCGAGGCTGCACGGCAACCACTTCGGAAGGGTCTTCACCTTCTATCCAGGGGTGGCCATCATGCAGTCTCGTCTCGATGCACGGGCAGGTATGGCGGCTCCCGCTACGGAGGCTTGACACCTGTCAGGCAGCGAGCGCTTGAAGCGAAGAACTGCATAGCATGACTGGTAGGACTTAGGCTGTATATAAGGCACAATGCCTTGCGCTGCATGGAAGATCATCATCAGCATCCAGCTCAGCAAGTCTTTCATTCATCGTCCTTCGAGTCGTTCATTCTATTATCTTCTTTTCATCGTTCCTGGAGAATCGATAGGCCGGTCCACTTTCGCTATATACCCTACTTAGACCCTATTCTTGTTTATTTTTTACGATTACGACCGAAAGGAACGATATCGATATTCATCATGAAGAACTCTCTCATTGCTCTTACTCTCATCGGTGCCGCGGCTGCCCGCCCGGCTACCCTCAAGACCAAGCGTGAGGTTCCCCAGGAACACGCTCACCGCAACGTCATCATTGCCGTCAACGATTTGTTGTTCCAGAACAACCCAGACGACATTCAGGATGGTGTCTTTGCCCTCCTCGGAGCTGCTGCTGCCGCTGACGGTGCTGGAGACATCGCTGATGCCGGTAAGTCATTTGGGATCCATTACACATCTTCATCAAGCTAATCGTCTGTAGACTGCCTCCAGCAAGCCGTAGCTGACCAGGCTTTCACCAACGCCAAGGAGGCCGGTGATGTCGAGGGCATGACCATGGCTCTCATCTACCGTGCTCTGGAACGCAACACAGGCTCTGTCGGCCTGGCTTCCGTTCCCTGCGAGTCCATCCAGGCTGTCAACCCTGAGATTGCTGCGCTTCAGCAGCACCAGGATCCTGCCAGTGACGGAGCTGCAGAGCTCAACAAGGGAATTGCTGAAGAGCTTGCTCGCCAGATTGCCGCTGTCGGTGGAGACCCATTGATGGCCAACGAGGCATCGACTTTCGCCCCTGGCGAGATCGGCGACCCAACCGGTGCCGGCAACACTTGCGACGACGAGAACGATGATGCGGGATGCATCAACACCCAGAACCTCCGTGTCGATGACCTCACTGAAGATGAGATCGCCGCTGCGGTCGCTGGTGTCAGTGGAGCTGCTGCTGGCAACAGCACTGCCTCCGCTGGTAACGCTACCGACAATGCTGCTGCCAACGTCGGTAACGCCAACAACAATGCCAATGCGGGCAACAACAACGCCGCTGCTGGTAACGCTGCCGCTGACAACAACGCTGCTTCTGGTAACAACGCCTCTGCCGGTAACAACGCTGCTGCCGGTAACAACGCTGCTGCCGGTGACGCTGCTTCCGGCGCGGGTGCCGCCTCATTCGGCGGCTGCGACCCTACCATCACCTTTGGTCTTCCCTCGGACGGCCGTCAGGAGGAGGCCTTCGAGCCCACTGATCTCGCCACTTTCAACCACGGCTCAGCTCAGAAGATTGACATCATCTCCCAGTTCATCTGCTCCCAGATGTCCAACAAGTGCGATGTAGACGCTGCGGCTGTCAGCACCTGCGATGATGCTGCAGCTGCTGCTTCGGGCCTCACAGGCCAGGCTGCTGCCGATGCTTTCAACTCTGGTCTTGGTTTGTAGACGCGAGATGTACTAGATGGTTAGAAGGTTGGAGGAGCAATGTAACACTAGAAGATGGGATAGTTTAGATTTCTACTAGAGGGGATTTTGTTTTGTATGTCTTGATACAATTGAGAGAATATCACCCACGCTCTTGTGTCATTCTTCCGTGTCAACGTTTCCGTCTTCCCTGAGCATATATCGCGTAATCGACAGCGGTCGCGATTATCATAACAAAGACGAAAACCTGGTAAGCGATTACTGAAGAGACAACAGCGAGCACACATGTCATTGAGAATACAACAAAGCCGTTCGAGGCGTCCAGAAACGTCTGATTGGTTCCCAAAGCAGGTAGACTGATACCGACCTGCATTGCTGATAGTATTACTGTCAGGAAGACACCAAAAGGGATCAAAGCCCAGGCGAACTTTCTCTCGAAGAAAGGAGCGTCGTCGTGGTACTTGTGCAGATAGCCGCGCAAGAAGTGCGTTCTGAAGTATCTAATGCGGTAAATAAGATTCAGACGATCGAGACGTAGATCGCCAAATTGATATCGCTCGTTCACCTGACGGTGCCTCTTGTAAGTATATGGATCTATCAGCTGATCAAGATCTGCTTACCGGGTGTCGATGAATGATGTCGATATTTTCAGCGAAGCTACTGATGAAGAGTTTCCATTGACTCCAAGTGATGGATTTTGGTAGAAGATTGAGGTCTTGCGCGACCTGAAGGTCCAAGGATGTCGTTATCAGCCAAGCGTAACTTAGCAATAGCCCTGCGGCTGACTTCCACAACCAATCTTCGGGGCAAATGTATTTCGACCAAAACTCGTGAGAAAATATCCAGTAAGAAAGTGGCTTCACCCATAGCTTTTGTGGAGATCCTCGAGCCTTGGTCAGATGAAGATCCATCTGTTTTGTACCCAGTATCTCGTATCCCATCAATCGATAGCGATGCAGTGGATGTGGTGACCGCCTCAGTCTTCCTGCCATCCATAGATGACTATGGATCCTATTGAGCCGATCGAGGTTCAATTCATGATGTAAAAAGGCCGATGGATCATCGATCGCGAAGAAAAGCTCGTTAGGACGTCCCACAAGCGTCGGTAATGACTCTAATGCTTGTTGATAGTTCGGTCCGGAAGGCAAGCTGGGATCATTCAGTGCATCGTTGTCACAGGTTGGCTGAACGGTTGCTGACGGACTCAGTGTCGCCGAGAAAGGTGGTGGAGGTCCCGTTCTCTGAAGTCATCAGCATCGTACACCTAAAAAATACGCCAGAGTTTACCAAGTCTTCCATTGGAATACCAACGGTTTGCTCTGTCATCGACATTGAACCAACGCAGGAAACTCCCCACTTCGCATTGGTGAATATTTCGTAGGCTAGTTATATGTGCATCCAAGGAGAAGGCTGAGTAAAGGAGGCTGACACTGCAGCGGGGCTGAAAGAAAAGCAGATAAGACGACCAAGCCACCATCACTATACTGGTGGCGTCGGATTTGATCTATACTGGCAAAGCCTTCATCGTGTTTCCTGCAGGATGCTGTGTGGCGGAGCGCAGGCATAATGCTGCCTAGACACTTACAGCATCGCTGCGACGCCAACATACTCGACATCGGGGTAGGAAACGCTATATTCTCATCGCGCCTCGTTTGGATACATCAGGAGGACATCCTCTGGTTTGTGTATGGGCGATAAGCTGCGAACCAGTCTTCCTTTCAAGCTTCTGTACTTCGCGATTGAGATGGTTGATAGCGATGGACGCGTCTAATTTCGCAGCACGGAGATCGTACTGCCATGACCTGATATCCATATTGGTTGCTCCTCGAAAGAGATCAACGCTGTGAGTTGCTGGGTAATGCATAACATGTTTGTGAGCAGCGGATGTCCCAGGAAGGCGCGGCGACAGTAGAGCACCTGGTCACTATTAGATGTGGTGCGCGCGTCACGAAGTGTGTCCTCATTATCCGATGAGCTAATACATGTTCAATGATCGCCTGATCTGCTGGAAGCGAGCGTGGGCTTCAAAGCTGTTCACGAGGACGTAAAGTCCCCGCACTATCGACTATTGAAGGTGTTTAACGCCCATAGTACAGCCACTGGTATTCCTAGAACGGGCTGCATTATAGGCCTCGTGCTGTGTTGAGCGGCTCGAATCCACTCTAAGACCCTCATGGTGCTCGGCAGTGTCAAAGCCAGCGAAAGTCAGCCAATGAGAAATCGAAGCCCAAGATGGCTGGTCGATTGGACTTCCAAATCGAGCGAAACACGTGCATTTCGGAACAGCCAGATATTGGTGGGTGTGATGAGCTGCCGATCCAGACCCTTTTCGCAGCCAAGCGCGGGAAGCACAACGTTTCGGCACTCCGAGTCCTGGAGGACGGGCTGGGGCGCAAAAAAGGGTCGCGCTTGTTAACGTCTATGCAGATGTGTATGCGAACAGGGGAGAAATTCGAATGGATGGAAGTCAGGTTTTCACTGCAATCGCTCTAGCCAGAAGAACGGAGCTGATGGCTGAAGCATTGGCTACAGTACGTAGTACAGCGAGGTAGTAATGACTCGTGCTGTTGTTGTGTTGTAGAGCAATGGCCACGGCTCCACTGTGGAGAAGAGGGTTGGAGTCGTAGCGAATTGGGGTCTCCAGTGTGCCCTTAGCCGTGAGCGTAGTGCACAGGTGGCAGGAATCTGCTCGCCGTCACTCATTCATGTCGACGAAGCGGCAGAAGAAGTGGATGAGATGGAGCGGGGAGGGAAAAGCAAAAGACAACGGGGAGGGACCGTTATGCATGCCGCGAAGCCGCTTGCCAGCTTGCAGCATGTTGGCAGCGGGCGACTGGATGAAAAAGTCGTGACAGGTGTTCGTGCTTGCAGAAAAACAAGGTCTCTATGCAGGGGCCGTCGAAAGAGAGCGCCACGATCAAGGTATGATTGCACGGGCCATGATGCATCGAAAGCGGTTAGGCCGGCAGAGTGAGCGCGTCGAGACGCGTCAGTTTCGCAATCGACGGTCTGCGGCGACAGCTTCACGTGTTGCGTGGGAGTACCAGACTCAGAATGCGATGCAAAAAGACGCAGAGCAGCGCATGACGCCTCATGCGAGCAAATTGCGCAAAGTGTTGGATGCGGAGTGTTTGATTTTGTATGGGGCTCGGGGCACTTGGTGGGTTTGCAGAGGTTCTATCGACGATCTTGGCCTAAGCCCGTCCGCTGTCTCGCACTAGCCGGGCAGCAACCGTCAGCCGACTTTTGCGAACCTCACCGCACATCACCTTCACCATCACGACTCTCACGATAATCCCGAGCCGACTCTCGCTCGTCGCACTCCCGTGCGCTCCACGCGACTTCCTGACGACCGTTTCCTTACGTCTTTTACGAATCTTGTCTTTCGCTTGCGCTTTCCTTGGACGCGGACTAAGGCGCCCGATTCGCTTCCGCCCACGCTCCCGCTCCTCTCATCGCGACCCACGACTCCCATATCTCGCCAACACCCGCCATCGCCACCCTTCACCATAATTCACGCGTCTGCCGACGCATCTTTGGACCTTTGCGCATCGTCTTCGACTATTGCTAATCGCGCATCCGCCCGTTGACAGCTGTTTGTCGCGACGTGAAGCTACGCGCCATCGTCGCCGATAAGAGCACTCGCGCATTCTTCGTGTCGACAGAGCTTCTGCGACACTGAAATCCTCCGTTGCCACTACTTCCGACAGTGCGCGACATCTTGCGACAGTACGCCCGCTTTATCAAGGCGCAGCCGTCCTGCTTGCACGTGTAACCAATCTGCAGCCGCACAGTCGCGTTCGCAGAGTACCAAACACCTGCCTGCTGGGTTCCGAGGCCTATCACCACCGCCCTGCATAATCAAGCCACTTCGACAGCAACCGGAACACCCTCAGACCGGATGCATTGATCGTTTGTCGTGTTTTAACTGCCGTTGCTCCTTGCAGTGTCTTTGAAGTCGACCTGTTGTTGTGGTCAAAGACAATCGTATCCTGAAACACGACATCGGAACGTCAGCAACATGGACGCCGAACGCCCCAACCTATCTACTACCCTACCCAGGAACTTCATGTTCCATTACCGTGACGGCCCGGCTCCACAGACTCCCGAGCCAGAGCCGCAACCCGAGCAGATGCAACCGCCGCCGCCGCCCCGACAGGTGCTCAAGGTGCGTCGCCGCCGTGCCACCCTCGTCATGAACAACGACGACATGGACGCCGTCATGAACCAGCGACCCATCCCCACAATTGAGGCTCCCGAAGTCATGTCGGAAACCTCCAACCTGCTACCACCCTACTCACTACCTCAAAACGACGCATTCTTGTCTCCAGGGTTCAGCTTTCCTCGTATGCTTTCCCCACCCAAGACTCCCGCTGCCCAAGTGCGAACAATCAGCCACTACGAGGGAACTCAGGACTGGTCCGACGTCCCACATGTCAGCCAGAGCGAAACATCTAGCAGACCCACCTCATCGTCAGGCTTCTCAGACTCATCCGTCTCGTCCTGCGATAGCATTGGCTCCTTCATGTCCAGAGGCGGCAGCTGCACGAGCCCCGAAGATGAATCATCAGACCCTTTCGCCTTCTACCCACCCACAAACAAAGCCCAACGACCAAGCTCACCTTCGATGGGTACCCGACAATCTCGCTCTGCAACAAAGCTGAAGTTGCGAGCCACCTTCAGCGAGGAGATGGATCACCACTTGTGGATGACTTACATGAAGTACCTTCAAGACCCTACGGTGACACCCTTCAAAGCCCTCCCGAGCACTACACCGCCGAATGGAGTCTGCCATCGTGTAGCGAGGATGGCTCGCAAGACATGGAAGGGCCCGAAGTCTTCTCGCGCTGGTGCCCTCAACGCGACTCCACAACATGGTTTCCTTGCCGGTACACCGGGTACCATGAGGCCGATCAGGAGCGGTAGCAACACACCTGTAGCTAGGCCAACCAGGTCCACCATGCGCTACCCCAGTGAGAAGCAATGTCGGAAGCGCTTACGAGACTTGGCTAAACAGAAGC